GTGGGTGGGTCGATAGCAAGTAGAAGGTGAGGAGGAAGTGGAGAGAGGAAGAGGGCGGGGGGTGAAGGGTGGGTGAGGAGTTGGGGGATAGAGGGGCGTCCAGGTAGGTTTATAGGGTCGATGGGTAAGTGGGACGGTAGATTGGTGGGGTTGAGGGTGGACAAGTGGAAGCGTGGATGGGGAGGCAGATGGGTAGGTGGTGGGAGAGTATTGGGTGGGAGGATAGGTAGATGGGAATGGGGGATGGGGCTAGGCGTGGGGAGATAGAGGGAGGGTTGGTTGGTAGGTTGGTGGATGGGCAAGTGGGAGGGTGGATGAGTACGTAGGCGGGTGTAGCCTGTGGATGGGTGGTGAGTAGAGGATGGATGGGTGAGGGGGTGGATGGTCAGTATATAAAGATGAGCTTTAGCATCAGACAGACCAGGGTGGAAATCTGGCTTGGCCCCGTGGGCCTATCACAACCCCCCCCCAAGTATGCATTTCTTCACCTGCAACACGGGGTAAATGCTAACCACGTAGAGATGTTCTGATGATGAAATCAGAGAATGTCTGTAAGTTGTTCAGCATGAGCCTGGCACAAAACCTTCCATTCATTCTAAAATGACAGCAGTTCCTGAAACCTTTCACGATGGCCCCGAGAGGCTGGGGCAGTGATAGCATGTCACAGAACGGGACTGGCTCCTGCAGCAGCTCCATGCCCCCTCTAACTTTAGACAAGGAGTGAGTGGACACTCTCTTCTAAAGAGGTGGGGGGTGGGGGCTGTTGAGCAGGAACTCCAGGCCCACCCTTACCAGGGGCAGCCCCAAGGAAGTAGAGAACACACCTGTAATTTCAGGGCTCCAAGAAACATTTCTTGACAACATCACCTACTTGCTCCACGTTTATTCTCCCCAAACTGCTCAGGAAAGTGCCCAAGAGCACAAAAAGCAGATTCCCTTTGTCAACACCCTGCACCTGTGCAAACTGTCCTAAGCCACACTCCAGCCTGCTGCCTGCGGGGACCTCGTGCTGGCCAGCACGTGACCTCTCCCCATGGCCTCCACAAGAGCACCTAAGCCACTCATGAAAAGAAAAACCTGTTGGGAGAAGGTCCCTGCAAAGCAAGGGACCTTCTGAGCTAAGAGAAGTGAGGCTGAATCGCCACAGAGAAGGAAACCCCATTGGCACTGGACAAATGCTCAAGCCGGGTGCATCTGGGCTGTAGGGCCGCCTCTGGGAGTAGGGTCTGCCACCCTCCAAAGCAATTCCAACATGCACTCACCTTGCACTTCCTGAGCACCTCCCACTGGCCGCAGTGTTTACACCTGACATGACAGAGGGACACACCTCTCTTTAATCCTCACAACAGCCCTGGGAGGAACTGCACCCTTATTTCACCTTATGGAAAAGCACACGGGCTGGGTGGGGTTAGAGGAAGCTCTGTGATTTCACATAACTAGCGCTTGCTTTAACTCAGACTACAGAGGGCTCTCATTCCTTATAAAAAACTGGGAGGCTTCCTACCATAAAAATAACACATGCTTCTCAGAGAACATCTGGGAAACACAGAAAAGAACAAAGTCACCCGCAGACAATCCTTGTTGGCATTTTGCAGTGATTTTTCCATGCATTATTTAGAGTGACTTATTTAGTGATCGTGATGTAACACAGTTTTGCATCCTGACTCTTAATATTACAAACATTTATTGACAATACTTGACATCTTTCATAAAGGCCATTTTTGATGACTATATAAATATTCCCTCAAGTAGATACACCATAATCTACTTAAGCATTCCCCCAATGTTAAACATTTTGGTTATTTCCATATTCAGTTCAATATCTTGTATTTCAATATTGTAATTAATGACGCAATGAACATCTTTGTACTCATGTTTCATTATTTCCTTAGGGTAGATCCCCAAAAGTAAGATTTCTGGGTAAAGGCTTAAGACCATTTTCAAGCTCTTTAGGGACCCTCGAAGGCCTGGTGTCTAATTCCTACCCAATCATTGAGTTGCTCTGTGGTCCAAGGCAAATCACCTCTGTGAGCCATAGATCCCCCATAGGGAAAGAAATGGACAGACTAACCCAACACCAGGGGAAATATTAGTGAAGACTAACCAGTTACAGAATTTTAACTTCTGGAGGCTACACGGGCAAAATCAACTGAAATGTGGGCTGCACCGCCTACATACGTGGGACCACATCTTACCTAGCACATTTGGTCTCTCTCAAACCCATTCTCATGCTGATTTAGCATAGCAGCCTCTGCATGAAAGTCCATAATTTGCTCCAGATGGAAAAGATTAGTAACACATCCCTCCAAAGCAAAGAGAGGGTCAACAGGTGAGAGACCAGACACACCAGGCACTGCCTCCCCATCTCACCCCACCTTCTAAGGGAATATGTTCCACCTCCAGCTCCTGAGAAGGGGTGGGCTCCATAGAACCACCGCTCCGGCTGATCCCACAAGCCCCAACACAGCTCACTGGCCCAGGGGTGACCGCCTGGCCTAAGATGGGCCAATCAGATTTTTTGTCCCAGAAATCTGGGGTTGGGACCCAAGACACCATGGGGATCTGAGCTCTGAGGTCACAGGAAGTAAGAGAGGAGCCAGCACTGTGGATAACTGAAGTCATGGTGGAACCAAGAGGTTGCCCGTAAGCCCAGGGCACTGGTTTGCAGGGAGGAGTGAGACAGTAAGGTAGATATTCAGAAAGCACTAGAAATTTCCTTCACATCTAAATCAGGTCCCTGTGTAGGCCAGCCGCACCTCCCTTCCTGTCCCGGAAGCCTGTGAGCCTGCTAGCAAAAGATGTCAGCCCCCAAAAAGTGAATATGGCTGGAGAGGATCAAGCAAAGGCTGGAAGTTAGTGGATTCAGATTCACATGAGATGTCTTGGACATTTCAAAATCAATGAGGGAGGATCAGAGTGGGTACCCAGAACTTGGTGGCAGGCATCTGATACGCATATCCTCTGAGCCCTGGAGGGTGGAGTGTGGGAGATGACTATGGCTGAGGGGAAGGGAGTCCAAGCAGGCAATACTGCTGGGAGAATCAGGTAAGGGTTTGGAAGGCTAAGAGTGCATAGGAGAAGGAAAAAAAAATTGCAGAATGAGACCAGGAGAAAAAATGTTTAGGATGAATTTTTGCAGAAAGGCAGAGCTGTGTTACCCTTTGCAAAAGCCAGGTGAGAGAAAGGACAGGGAGAGAAAATACGAGCTGCTGGGGCCAAGTCAGGGCAAGAACAGCTGCCTGCACATAGCCAGTGACCACGTGGACAACACACGCCAGTACATGGATTGCAGGTGGAACAGACATTACTGTGGATGCATCTTCTGGGAAGGGTCTTGTGCCTTTAAGGAGTCAAGTAAAGAAAAAGAAAGCACCCACTGTGCCTGGCACTGATTGAAAGAGCTAACCTACCAGTGACAGGAGGACTGCAAGAAAAGGCCCAACTTGAGCCCAACGGTAGTGGCAAAGACCAGCAAAAGTCATCATCACTGTAGGTCACTGTAGCCTCCGGGCCATGAGGAGGAAGAAACAGGAAGTGACCAGAGAGACCATCTGGACAAACTAAAAAATAGGGTTCCATTGTAAAGACAAAAGCTTAAAGGCAGGAAAAATGACAAATTCTGCAGATGTCTGGAGACCGGTGGACTTAGTAAAAGGTCTGGAAATCATGGCAGAAGTGTTTAATCAGAGGAGAGGAGATCAAGCTCCAGACTCCAGGAGGCCCTAGTCGGGCCCTCAGCACTCAGGTAGCCTTCAGCTGCCACCTCCCACCCAGTCCCCACCCACAGTCTTACCTGCATCACTGCGTGCCTTTTTCAGGGCATGCAGAAGGTCCCAGCCAATGTTCTTAAGGTTGTTAATGACAACAATTAAGGGGACTCAAAAACCTCAAAATTTATAACTCAAAATTTAAAATCCTGACAGCCCTTCAAAAATCTAACAAGTGTACATGGTTGTCCTAGGTAGTTACAGAAAGCAAAATTAAGAAAAACATAAGTTATTAGAAAGCAGATTTAGGGCTCAAAATTAAGAAGAATTTTCTAATATGCAGATGTGCTCGATAATGGAATTGATTGCCTGAAGAGGTGGTGAACTCCCCATCAACAGAGGAAGCCATGCAAAGATAGCAGCACCATATTCTAGGAGCTGCAGAAGAGGTTCCTGAGATCATCTTGAAGGTCCTGTCCAACCCAAAACCCCACGAAATGAAACGTATGGTAGAACAATTACAGACACATCTGGGAAATCATGGAGCAGCAGAATTAGCAACTCCTTTTAAACAAAGAAGTACAGGAGAATGAGCTCAAAATAGAAATAGGTTCAAGAAGGACTTAACTGAATCGATACATATTCAACCCAAGGCAGGTTACCAAAGACAGTGGGAGATGCGTAACAGTGCCCCCCACAAAGGCTGGCATCACGTAACAAGCAAGCCACCCCCAGAACACCCTCATGCCCACACCGTCAGCCATGGCACGGGGAGCTGGATGAACTGTGGATTCTTTCAAGTGCTTGCCAAGGAGAAATGCTCCACGAGCACCTTCCTAGAGAAAGGGCCTGGCCTTTGTTGTCCTGAATGACTTCTGCCAGGTGAGGAACATGGGGGTCAAGGTCATGGGAAAGCCCAGGCTCCACTGACCAAACACTGTCCCTCCCACAGGGTGAGGGACAAGACCATAGACAGAGCTTGCTGGCTACGGAGCATCACTCACAGTCTCGACAGAGCCTGGTTGTTCTGGAACAGCAGTTCCGGTAACACGTGCAGCTGGTTCCGGTTGAGTCGTCTGAAAAAGAAAAATGAAGAGTGTTCTAGAAATTGCCTAGATGTCCAGGAAATCCAAAGGACTTCTCAGAGTCAGAAGGCCCAGACCTGAAATCCTAACAGGGTCAGTGTGTAATCTCAGGGAAATCACCTTCTCTGGACCTGTTTCTTCATTTATAAAGTGAGAATTCCACCATCCAGTGCTTGGGGAGGACAGACACAGAGCAACTGTGGCAGCCCCTCACCACGTCAATAACCAGAGCACTTTCCTTCCACTGTGTCTCCCACACCCATCACCACCACCAGTTCACATCTGCAAGAGCCTTTGTAACTTATAAGGCGCTGATTCCAGTGCTACCCCAGTTTGTGAGCTGGGTACCTACCCACACTTGAAATGTGAGATACACCCTTCCAGGGTAGGACTGGCCACATGTCCTGATTCCTTACTGATCTCATCCACATTTGGCTCAGCAGCAGTTTAACTTATTTTATTGTTCACTTTGGGTCTTTTCCAAAATGAAAATAGCTTTACTTATCTTTTTTTTAATCATTAATGAAAATGCACACTTAAAAAAAGAAAAGAAGAAGAAGCCTCAAATGAGGGGAGAAAAAGTACTCAACCACCTGCATTTTTCTCACTCGACAGTTTGTGGATGTCTTTCCATGCCAAACAGTACAGAATTATCCCTTTATTTTTAATGACCGAATAGTATGTCCATAATTTTTAATTCCCCTATTACTGGACAGACAGCTTTTCACTATTATAAGCACAGGCAGGAGTGGGAAGTCTGGTTCTGGAATATGGCCTGACAGAAGATATAAGCAGAAAGGACGGCACTTGTCCTAGGAAGGCAGCTAAGTTTAACCAGACTCAGCTCGCCCACCAGAAGCAACTAATTCTTCTTTTTTTAAAAGATGACTGATAAGGGGATCTCAACCCTTGGCTTGGTATTGTGAGCACCACGCTCAGCCAGTGAGCCAACCAGCCATCCCTATGTAGGATCCGAACCCATGACCTTGGTGTTATCAGCACCGCACTCTCTGGAGTGAACAACGAGCTGGCCTAGAAGCAACTAATTCTTTGACAGCAGAGTCTAGGACGTAGTGAGAGATACAACCGAAATTTTTAAAAACTATAACAGACAACACTAAAATTTAACAATTGCTTTTTAGCCTCTGTGACACAGCTGCTGAGCTCATCGAGTGGTGTGACACCTGTAAGGCCCCATAGAAGACCCCAAAGGAGGCACTCCCTAAAACATGGCGCTTTTCTCTTCCAGGTCCTAACAATCTCGCCGGCGCCAAGGTGCAGCCTATCAGAAATCATTACCCGCCCCCGGCCAATCAACTACCACCCCGTGTACTAACCACCCTCTCCCGGAACCCGGCTCTATATAAATGTATGCTCCTCCCCCGAATAAAGCAGAACTTCTCCGGTGAACTGTCAGCTCGGGTCCTGTCGTTCTTTCAACACCTACAAAGTACAGGACCTTGGTCCATGAGTCACCAGAGGGGGCATCACCTGGAAGCTAAGAGCTGCAATATTGCAGGCACCACCGCAGACCTGTTGAGTAGAATGTGCATTTCAACAGGAGCCCCAAGTGGCTTGTGCGCACATTAAGGCTGAAGAACCACTGATGTAAAACAACTGTCAGCTCGGGTCCTGTCGTTCTTTCAACACCTACAAAGTACAGGACCTTGGTCCATGGGTCACCAGAGGGGGCATCACCTGGAAGCTAAGAGCTGCAATATTGCAGGCACCACCCCAGACCTGTTGAGTAGAATGTGCATTTCAACAGGAGCCCCAAGTGGCTTGTGCGCACATTAAGGCTGAAGAACCACTGATGTAAAACACAGCCCCTGCCTGTAAGTCCACAGCACAGTTTGAGTTACACACAAGAATCTCTTGTAACAGTTCTTGATCAGACTGTGATAAATCAACTCTACAAAATCTTCCTTTTGGAGAGAGAGAGGAAGAAACTTAATGCTATGTAGCCAGCTGTAACTGGTCTGTGGTTACCTTCTAGAAGGTCATCCTTCATCTGATATGTGAGAGAGGTCATTGCCACCACACTGGGGACTGCCATGTTCCAGCATAGTGCAGAGCGTTAGATCTGCAACTCTAGGAGACCAGCTGGAAGAAGTTTACTGTACAGGGCAGGCTCCTAGGGAAACACATCATTGCTTTGGAAAAGAAAGGACCACCAATATAATCTTTAAAGCAACAGGAATAGACATGAGATCACCCCGAGTTCCTTAACCTTGGTCCGGTAAATTAATCCTATATTCACCCTGCCTCCTAACCACTGGTTTTTGTTTTGTTTTGTTTTTCCTCAAGACTTTCTCATTTTTCTGGCTTCAATGACTTAGGAGGGGAGGAGATTCAATGCCTAGAGACGAGGACAGCAAAGATCAAAGGACACCAAAGGAGGGGCCCAGCATGGTGAGATTCATGAAGGTAACTCAGAATAATAATAGTAGTAGCTGCTACCAGGATCAATGCTTTAGGGGCATTCTCTCACCATCGGAGGGAAAGCAGAGTGAAAGGGTGGGCTTCTTTCTCTTGAACATGACAACAGTGCCTTACAGTCACGCACACACCCTCCCGTCTCCTTGCAGTAACCCCACAGGTAAGGTTCTACTGCCGCAGTCACAGCACCCGACTCAGCTCTTGGTTGCTTTTGTTGAGTTCTCTCAGATAGATGAGGGAATTGGGTTCTGAGAGGTGAGTGGCTCACCCAAGTCCTTACTGAGTGGTAGATGTGGGATTCCGAAGCCTGCTTTTCCCTAGCGCCCCATCCTGGCTGCCTCTGTGACACTGTGCTGGCCTCTGCATAGCCGAGCTCCACTCCCTGCCAACCACAGGCCAGCCGAAGCCCTGGCACGCTGACTCTTCATGGCCTGCAGGAACACACATGTCTGCTGCTACACTCAAATCTGTAACTACTTACAAGATCCAGCTATGTCCATCCAAACTTGCTTATGCCAGAGGTACTTGTAATTATAATGTTATAATTTACTTAACAATCTCATAGATGAAAAAATACTAGTGGGAAAAGAAAGACTTGTCTCTTTGGAAACTAAGTTGAATGCTTTGGAAAGATTCAGTAAAAGGAAAGCTGTTAATTAAAGGGTTGTTGGATTAAGTAAAAACTGGAGGGGGGGGGTTGTCATAAAAATAAGGTCTAGAATTCTCCACCCAGATTGCTTCCAAGGGCCTTTTTAAAGCTCCCACTTCACCTTCAAGAAACCAAAACCAAAAATCATAAACAGGGTAATATGTGAGTGGTTTAGGCAAGGAAAACAATACAGAGATCATTTAGTGTCTCATACTAAAAAGAAAAGCCCTGGACCAAAAAAAAATAAACAAAAAGACAGGTTGGGGAGGGGGGCTCAATAAATGCACATTGATATGTTTTAACTGAAAATGAAATGTTTAGGGTATGCATGACTCCCCAGTTTAACCAATTTTTAGGATTAACTGATCCACCACTGGTGTCCACAGGCCAGAGGAGGGAGCAGCCACTGAACTGACCACTCACAAAGGTGCAGGCGGCCAGCACCGGATGCCTCCAGGGATGGGGTGGTCACACTCCCTAAGAACAACTGCCCGCTGTGAACCTGCTGGTCAACCCCTCCCTGCCCCGAAGAAGGGAACTGGGAAAGGACAGAAGGGACAAAGGCTGGACCCTGCCAAGTCTTGGGTGGCAGCAGCAGCATGACAGGGCCACCCCCTGCCATCCCCCACCCCAGGCCACCTTTCCTCCTCCCCTAGGGTGCGGCAGCAACAGAGTTAGAGCAAAAGTTTGGTCCAAATCAGGCCCTCATGGCCAGGTCAGTCCTATGTATTTAGTTCTAAGGCTTTTAAAGAAAACAAACGCAGGACTAAACATCTGGGCTAGCTGTGGGCTGCTGATCACTCAGCTGCAGGCCCGGCTGAGGAGCACAAAAGCAAGATCGCCTTGAGTTTTTTTCCAGGCTGCCTGAGGGCAACGAGACAACTTTATTCTTTTCCCATCACTTAATACCTCATTTTCTTTGATATAAAAGTGAAAGGTGAGGTATTAGGCCATAGTCATTAACGGCTCAGGCTTTAGAGGCAGAATGATCCGGTTTTTAATCCCCTCTTCTGCAAAATTGTGGGCAGATGACTTAACCTCTGCACACTTCTCTTTCTCATCGATAAATTACCATTTACCACAGTGTTGTTTTAAAGATTTAATGAGATACTATAGCGCAAAGAGCTTACCCTGGTGCCTGGCACAGAGTAAGGCAAGCAGTGGTAGCTATAATTATAATTATAATCTCATTGTAAGAAAATCCATAAAAAAAGAAAAGCACAAAATAAAATGAAAATCACCTGTTATCCCACTACTCAATGTAATGAGAGTTAATGGTCTCAATTTTTCTCCTCCTGTATGTTAGCCACATACAAGTTGATTTTATTTACACAAATGTCACTTCCTACCTTTTCCACTTAACATGCCATTGTGAGCACATTCCCATGGCTTCACCAATCTTCAAAAATAAGACTTTATATCTTAGGTCTCCACCAGAATGGTTGTTTCTAATTTTGTTTGTTTGTTTGTTTTTAAATAATATGCAGTAAATATCCTGACATGTAATTTTTTAGTGATGTCTCTGATTATTTCCTTAAAATAAAATGGACTTTCTGGTTCAAAGAGCATGACCTTTGGGACTCTTGACAACTATGGCTAAACCACATTGCAGAAGAATGAGTCAGGTGACCACCGTGAATGTGAGTGCCCGTCCCCCACCTCACTCCTTCCACATTCCTTTCTCCTTTTTCATTGTTGCCAACCTGAAATTCAAAAATTGATCAACATCCATTTTCAAACCTTAAAACCCTGTTAAGGAAAAGAAAAAACATGCAAATCAGAACATGCCACCACCTCCTGGTTTCAGTGCTATGGCCCTGAGCACCTGAGACACTGATCCTCAGGTGGCCCCTGGGGCTTCCCTGATGGGTCCCCCCGGCACATTGACGGCTCCCTTTTAGGACACACAAAACAGTGAACAGTGGTTCTGCCTCACTTGCCTGTGTTGAATGACTGTTTCACCATCATGTATTTTCAGGGACAAATAACAGAGTGGCACTGAGAACAGGGAGGGTGAGTGCTCTGCAGGTTTCTCTCTGCCACCTTCTCACCGTGCCCTGTGCCCACTCCCGGCTCCATCAGCAGGCAGAGGCCACTGGGCATTGGGTCCCCTCCCCGAGCAACCCCACTTCCAGTCAACCCTCCCCGTGCAGCCCCCACTGCCCTTCTGGGCCTGTGTCCCGCCGATACTCACAGCCGCTCCAGCTCCTTCATGTCGTCGAAAGCCCCCCGTTCCACTGCTCCGATCTGGTTCTCCATCAGCTGCCTGGGAGACACAGAGACAGGGCGTTGCACAAGGACTCAGGGCATTGCCCAAGGACTGCCAGAAACAGCTGGCCGAGGCGATGCCAGCGATGGAGCCAGACGGGAGCCTGAGCCACCTACAGACCCACGTGCCTGAGTGGACAAAAAGTCCCTCCCCAACTCGGGCTCCTCAGCACCCGCAGCCTGGCAGCAAGACGCCCCCGGCCCTGCCCCATGCTGTCCCCTCTGACGCCGCCTGCCATGTGGCCAGAACACAGGCCACAGCTCTGAAGGCATGCTGGGGAAGGCGAGACCAGTGGTGGGCAGCACAGGGCTGGCCCTCCTTTGGCCCAGAGAGTACATGTCCAAGGGGCAGAGCAGGGGCAGCCAGTATTGCGGGGAGGGGAGCCTGTGCCAATGGGCCTGAGCCCCCACATGCAGCAAACACTCTGCAGTTGGCAGACAACACCCTCTCTGCCCACACCCCCACTCCGCCTGGCCCCATCTGCTGCAGAGAAGAGTGGGTGCCTGTGCCAACCGAACCACCTGGCTCTGAGACTCCGCGGCTCCTCACCACCAGCATGCTCCAAAACCCAGAGCTCCTGGCTGGTGGGACAGCAGTTTTCACCAATAAATCGACAGTTGCGTGATCATTTTTGAGATATCAAAGTATGTTTTCCTCCCTGTGTTTTCCCCTCTCCACTCTCAAGCAGGCAGCTAATATGCCCGTGCATGGGCCTCAGATCTGGGGCAAGGCAGGGGCCAGAAGCTGCCACCAGACACTTCTCTTTCTCCACTGTTTCCAAAAGTCTGGGATGTCAAGGAGCTTCCACTGCAGGCCTAGGGGGAGAGGGGAGGAAACACCAGGGAAGGGCTTCCCCTAGACCCAGAAGAGATTCTCCAAACCTGGGAAGAGGTCAGAGGTCAGTGGGCTCTGGAGCAGGAGAGATCCCTACACAGTGACTTGTTTGCTCTGACATAAGAGAGGATTGACCACAAGGTGCTCCAAAGACCCTTGTAACTGCAGAGCCAGCAGTTCTGCAAGAACTGAGGCCCCGGGACCCTTGCGCTGCCTTAGGAGTAGGAGTGAGGATCCTATGATTGTCTGATGTTGAATTTCCTGCCAACAAGGTGGGATGGGCTGTGAGTCAAAACTGAGTTGATGCAGAGAAAATAAAGAAATGTGATTCTTCTGCACTGCTGAGTTTGTGGGCTGAGCCATTGCTACATCAGAATGCAAGCATGCCGGGGCTGCCTCGGTACCCTGAGATCAGCACGGCAGGAGGGGTGAAGGGTCTGCCCCTTCCCCTCCCTCCTCACCCCCACCCAGTCTGACAAGGCAGGTGTGTGGGTGGTCCCCCTGCTGGCAAGTAGCCAGGCCCCACAGAGCTGTGCCTGCCACCTCCAACATCTGCCACTATCAGGCACCTGAGGGGGGTCACTTCAGTCCTCACCTGTCCCCACTCACTGGCCTTTCAAGTTGGAGGGCTGTGGCCTTGCTGGAGAGTCTTCCTGGGGCACAGGTTCATAAGAACTGTGGAGACTGTTATGGACTGAACTGTGTCCCCCTCAATTCATATGTTGAAGCCCAAATCCAACATGTGACTGCATTTGAAGACAGGGCCTTCAGGGAAGTAAATAAGGTTAAGTAAGGTCATGAGGGTGAGGCCTTAATCCAATAGGACTGGTGACCTTATAAGAAGAGGAAGAGATACCAGAGATCCCTCTCTCTATATACACACAGAGGAAAGGCCATGTGAGGAGCAAGAAGGTGGCCGTCTGCAAGCCAGGAAGAGAGGCCTCACCAGAAACCAACCCTGCCAACACCTTGATCTAAGACTTCCAGACTCAAGAACTGTGAGAAAATAAATTTCTGTTGTGTAGGCCACCCAGTCTGTGGTATTTCATTACAGCAGCCTGAGGAGACCTAAAGCTTCTTTATGGCCACCTGGTCTTCCCTCGCCCAGGAGACAGCCAATGGACAAGACAGCCCTATCTGTCATGCCTAGTTCTGTGCCATGCCCAGTTTTCTCAGTTGTGGGAGGCACTGGTTGCTCGGGTCAGGACTCAACATCAGCCCCACCCTGCTCTCCTCAGGGTGTCCCAAGACTGACTCCACAGTGGAGGGGCCCTGCCGGCCTACAGCCCTACCCAGAGCCAGGACCCCCAAGGCCACTGCCGGGGTGTGGGGGGAAGGAGGTCATGCATGGGGTGGCGTTCCATACTCACAGCACCCGCAGCTGCTTGAGCCCCGCAAAGTCATTCTTATGGATCCGAGTGATGTTGTTGCCATTGAGTTCCCTGGAGGAGGAAAGGAGAGGAGGAAGTGGTGAGCTGACCGGGGTGGGCCCCCACCTGTTTGAAGACAGTCATCTCACCAAAGGGGCTGGGGGCTGCCCAGCTAAGCCCCGGACCCCCAAGTCCGTGTTGAGGCCCACAAGCTGGGCTCTCTGCAGCAACGTCCCATCAGCAGGAACAACAAGGATTGTGGCCCATGGTTGCCAGTGCCGCAGGCACCAAAAACATGGTTTCTGCCCTGAAAGAGCTCAGTGTAGTTGAAGAGACAAGACATTCACACAGGGAAGAATTTGGAAACCAGCTAATGAGAAAGGCTATTCAAGTGGAACCCTCTCTGAGCCTCCGTTTCCTCATCCATAAAATGGGAATAATGACTATGTCCACTTCATAGGGTTACCAGATGTAGCAAGTAAAGAGTATGGCCCACACTTGCAAAGGGCCCCCTGGGGACACCTAGATGTTACCATCTGGTGGCACTGGCTCCTGCAAGCTATGCTCTGAGCAGGAGACAGCAGGGAGGGTCATGTAATTTAAGGGGGCTGAGGATGTGGGACTCAGGCTGAGACCCAAACACAAGGAAGATCTGCACAGTGAGAGAGAGATGGAGCAGATGTTCCAAGGAAGCCCACCCTGAGTCAAGCACAGGGTACCTGAAGAGCAAAAGTTGGGAGCCATAGAAATCAGGGCTGGAGGAAAGGGGATCGAGATCACAGAGGGCCTGAGAAAGCAAGCAGACAAGAAACAGGGAGCCAGCGAAGGTCCCAGACAGGAGCCTGCCATGAGGCCAGGCCCACAGTAGTGGGTAGGAGGGCCAAGGAATGGAGGCCCAGCTGCTGTCCAGATCCCAGGGCCAGGCTTCCTGCTGCAGTGGCTCCTCCTCTCACCATCCCAGGTCCCCTGGCCCTCCCCACACCCAAGGCCACATCTGCCCCTCCCTCACCACCTCCTGCCCAGTCAATCCCTTGGCAGCTTGGACGTGGACCCCACCTTAGAGGCCAAATGGCCCCACCTCCCTGAGGAGCTCACTCAGCCTCTGCCAGGCCTCTCCTCTTCACAAGAGGCTTGCTCAGCCTCAGAAAGGCAGGCCACTCCGGGAGTAGGGCACCCCATGTCCAGAAGGTCCTTCCACTGAGCCAAACACGGCAGAATCTCACGCCGGCCTAGCTCCATCCCCCACTGTCCCCTCCAGCATCTAACTTGTGTCCCCGAGGCAGCTCCCCACTGGCAGCCATACCACCTTCTCCTCTTTCTTGCCACGGTCACAGTCACCTGTGTGCTTTGCAACAACTGAACGCCCCCACCCCAACACACACACGTGCACACACTGTGTTCACCAGCAGCCCCATCTCCTCACTCGACCAAGTTTGATCAAAAATTCCAGGTATGGCCACGAGCCCAACCCAAGCCCAAACGACTTTGAACAACAGCAAGCTCCCTGTCCTACGAGTGTTTAGGACATGGGCTTGGTCTGCCTGAGGTTCTCGAGTTGCTTCCACTAGAAGCAACAACATATGCTACTGGTCTCCACACACCCCAGGAATGTGCCCCCTCACACGACGCTGGAAAGTGGTGGCTGTGTCCAGCTTATGGGTTAGCAAAGAGAGGCTCTAGGAGGCCAGGCACCTTCCCAAGGTCACCAGCCGGTAAACGACAGAACCACGGACCCTAGGGCCTAGGCTCTTCTACCAGGCCAGGCTGTCTGTCCAATTGACAGGCCAATCATTCATTCAACCATTGCACCCTCTGCCCTTTCCCCAGGCCTGACTCGGGTCCTCAGCAGCAGCTGAGAAAACTCATTCCCGGCTCCTGTCTCTTTTCTAACAGCCTCACTCAGATGGGCTTGAGGCCTCTCCGACTCACCAGGCCCTGGGCAAGAGCCCCAGACTGAGCCACTTCCCTGCCTTAAATGCTGTAAGGACACCTTCTCCATGTGAGACAGGCTCTTCTCAATGTAACGCTCTTTTTTTTACTGAACTAAACATTCTTCCCTGGAACAGCCACCTCTGAGCTGCACTTGTGCTGCGCCCCAACCTGCTCCACTGCAACCATTCTGCAAACGCTGAGAACGTCATCGCGAAGGCCTTTAAAAATAGTTCCTTTCCCAAGCAGGGTGGGCTTCCTTTGGGCCATCCTGCTGAAGCTTTCACCCCAAAACCCCAAAACACAGGAATTTTTGTTGTTTTATTTTTTTGATTACAAAGGTATGTCAGCACTGATTATAAGAGCAAAAATGTAAAAAAAAAAAAAAAAAAAAGAGCAAAAATGTTAAACAACTTAAATGGACATCCCCAGAACATTGCTTGAATTTCCACACATCCGTGAATCCGAACACCATGCAGCCATTTAAAATGGTACAGATCTGTTTGTACCAACAAGGAAAGCTGTCCATGACACAGTATGTGGAAAAAGGTTACAAGACAACCCGTATTTTATGAGCTCCTCTATGCAAACACACACACACAGATACAGGCACATGCACAGAATAAGTGAGGTCTGTGTGCCACATATTAATAGCTATAACTGTTAAGTGGCAGAATTTGAAGTGACCTTACTTTCTTTTTTATACTTTTCTGCACTGTTTGAATTTTTCTAAAAGCATCTATATTTTTATAAGATAACTTAATATTCAAGTTATTGCATTTAAAAACAAGAGTAATATATGAATATCACTGAATATTTTTTAAATTTCCTGAAGAATAAAGGTAAAAACTGAAAACCACACATACTCCTATCACTAAGAAATAACCCCTGTTAACATTCTGGAATATTTTCTATCAAGTCTGTTTTTTTTGAGGGGGCAACTGGCCAGTATGGGGATCCAAACCCTGAACCTTGGTGTTATCAGCACCACGCTCTAACCAAGTGAGCCAATCAACCAGCCCAAGTCTATTTTCTTTGAATACAATTTTTATACAGTTGAGATAACTCAAGTATTTATGGAAGCCTTACTATTTGCAAAGCATTTTTCAAGGTTCTAAACATAGGAGGATAAGTGAGACGAAATGGTTGCCCACTCCTCCTACCACATCGTAGCCTGTTTGTTCTCCACTTATGATTCTAACTGGCCATAAAGTGTCCCTCCATTTGGATACATCAAGTCCCAGACCATTCCCTGATTCCCTTACTGGAACACTTGGGCCGTTTTGATATTGTTCAATTATAAACAATGCATAAAGCTTGGCAGACATTTGGGAGGAATATATTCCTAGAAATGCGATTACTTGGTCAAAGGTCATAAAAGATCTGATGAATTTTACAATCATTTGCTCATTCCTTCTCATGGCAACCATGGTTTATAAGGTAATTGACTACAGTAATTATTCCCATTTCACAGATGGCAAAATTGAGGCAAAGACGACACTAAGACTTGCTAGAACAAGGCAGGGCCTAAAGTGGAACTCAGGAATCCCATGGATGGGATTCCCACTGAGGGGGTGGGGGGGAGAAGGGGACCTGTCTGATGGCATCCCACATTTGCATGCCTCTCTCTTCTCAGCCCATTCCCTCCTACTCACTTCCTACACCCAAAACCACCCTACTCAAGAAAAGACCTGGGACAGGCAGGGAGAAGAGAATAATGTGCAGACAACAAAGCAAATTCAGCCTTGCTCTGGAAGGCCCTGCTTCCAGGCAAGACTGCCAGGGAGGCCCAAGCCACCCCAGCCTGCCCCATCACCTTGCTCTCTAAGGCCAGAGCTATACACCTCTTCTCAGGGGAATACCCCTACCCTCACACAGCCTGCGAGGCAGAGGCAGCTCTCAGTAAGCTTCCAGGTCTGAGGCTGTTGCTTCAGGAAGTACCGTAACCACTCAGGCTGAGAAAATGACCTCCACTGGGTGGCTCGCTCTCACCCCTCAGCAGGGCAGCCCACCAGGATCGAGTGCCAACTTGGGCCTGCCACTTCCCCTTGAACCCTCAGCAGAGGCTGCTGGAATGAGGCAAGGAGGTCATTGTTGCAGCACCTCATTCCCACAGGTTGTCCTTGAGTGTTGCCAGGAGACCTCTTCCAGCAAGCTGCCTGGGGAGACTGGGAGCCGCTGGCAGCACCAGGGGACCGTGGCAGCCAGAGCAGCCACATAGGGTAGACCCGCTAACCTGGGCTCCCTGAGGTTTGGCCACCAGAGCCCACACCTACCACTCCTCCTTACTTACAGAGCCTGCTGTGTGCAGGCTCTGGGCCTGGCTCCAAGCATATGTTATGGGTAAATGTGTCCCCCAAAGGTTCATGTGTTAGAACTTAATCTCCATTTTAACAGTGTTGAGAGGGTAGGAAATCCAATTATGGTAATTGAAAGGTACATCCTTAAAGAGGTGATTAGATTGTGAGGACTATGCCCTTGTGAACTTGACCCATTCATGGAGTAACGGGTGTGGTTCTGATGGCTTTATAGGGAGGGTGAGTGAGAAGGTTAGCTCACTCTTGCTCAAGCCATTCGTCATGTGACATGCTGCCTGACTGCAGAGTCGCCACCAAGAAGGTCCTCACCAGATGCACCCCCTGGACTGCGGACTTCCCAGCCTCCAAAACTGTAAGAAATAAATTTTATTTCTTTATAAATTACCCAATCTCAGGTTTTCTGTTATAAGCAACAGAAACTGACTAGTACAGCATGCTTCATCTCATTTCACCCGCTCAGCAACCTAGGAAACTGAGGCACAGACTGGTGAAGCAACTCACCCAGTGCTTAAAAAATGGTGGGGCCAGGATCAACCCCAGCCAGTGCGATTCCATGTTCTTCCCCTACCTCTCCGGGACTCGTGTTGCTGTCTCCTCATCCTGTCCCCTCATGCTGAGCAGTCATGCCTTGGACAGAGCTGAAGAGTGGCATGGGTGCTGGAGTAGGAAACACGTGCTCTGGGGCCCTGTAACAAGGCCATGTGCTCTGCCTCGGCAACAACAGCAGGGGAGCTCCCCGGCCCGGCTGAGCTAAGTGTGTTCATGGTGGCGAAGAGCCTGGGCTCTGGAGCCAGACTGGGTGGCTTCGAATTCCTGCTCCACCGT